CACCCTTTCTTGACTTTCCAATTCATCAGTGAATTGAATTGCCTCTACCTTCGAGTTGATATGTTCGACAAGTCTACTTGTGTCCTGTATTTTAAGTATGGTGAGTGTGTCATCTACATACATCCACCATACTTTTGTGGTGGGGCTGAACGTCTCAATCGCTAAGTTCCCCCACCTATCCATGAATACATATCTGGAATTATCAGGGATATTGGTGACCCCAAGGAAACCTCCTCATTTTATTTGTGTATTTCCCTTGAGAATAGCTGTACAAGTAGGATTATATCTTCTAGTGGCACTTTTATTATAACTTCAATTTCTTTATTTTGCCGAATCAAGTGAAAACACGTGTTAATGAAATGATTCAACACCTATCCACCAGGACATCTGGAAATTCCTACTACCCCTACAAAGACGACAAATAGGAATGAAGGAGAAGTATGAAATGAAAGTCTCGAAGTTGTGTAGTTACAGACCTTGGTGATTTGACGATTACGAACAATCATAAATTGTGTTCGAAACTTTGTCATCCAATGTATAATTATACTGTCTCACTGACTGTGTGATATATCCATCTAATACACAAATTAATGTGGAAAGGGACTAACTGTTTTAAAAACCGGCAACGAATAGAATTTCTATATCTGCTACATTCTGATTCAATAGCAGTTGTCGATAGAGCTACTTGTTTGAAATGATGAACACTTCACTCTCATATTGACATCAAAGATTACCTACATTGTGACAATGTTTTGCAAAAAAATCGTGCGTTTGTTTGTAGGGATTTGATTGGCTTCAAGATTTTGATCACGGATTGGTACGAGTCAGTGAACCATTGGAAAACCACCAGGGAGTACCGGACAGTGGTTTCGTCCTACTTTGTGACTCTTCATAAGTACGCAACCACCCACCAATCAGAGTTCAAAACAAGGACTTTCCGGTTAATGGTCAAGTTCGTAGTAGACCATTCAGCTACTGAGACTTAACTCAATGACCAGCCCGTATATCTGAATTCTAACTTCTATCAGTTCGTGGTTTTAGCGTGAATGGCATCAGCCAACATCATCAGAGGCGAGTATTTGGGGAAGCCTATTAAGAGCGCTGAAGAATCGGAGAAAACAGGACTTCAAGTTAACACAGAGAAGATGGAGGTGATGAAGATAATCAACCAACCAACAACAGAAACAACAACAACAAACAGCACCAATCACCCACCATCAAAGGGAGAAATTTGAAAGAGCTCACTTCCTGCCTTCACTTATCTGACCAGGAAGCATCGTTTCAGTTACATGTGACGCCATGGATGAAGATTTCAAAACCGGCCACAATCGGACAGGCAAGTTACACCTTAATCAATCCAGAAATCGTCTCTATTCAGCATCATCAACAGAATTTGGATTGTCAACACCAATGTTAAGTCAGTCAGTCAGTTACTTCTTCCATAAGGGTCAGTAACTTGGCCAACGCGTCATGAAATACATTTTAACAGGCTACTGAAGACTTTTATCAACACACCTGCCTTCGTTGGCTCCATATTGAAGATAAGATGGCAACTAGGCCAGCCGGTCGGTCAGAAAGAATCAGAAACAAGAAACTACTGGAACGAACCAACACTAATCAAGAAGTTATTGCTCAACAAATATTGAGAAGAAAATGGAGATGGATTAAGTACACTCTGAGGAGAACGTCAGATGACATCGCGTTCAATGCAGGCGATCGCTCGAGTGGAAAGTGAATGGGAAATGACGAGTTGGTCGTGGTATGCCGGAGGGTGACATAGAGGAGATCGTGTGGCGAGGAGTAGTTGAGAGATTATGGGCAATCGTGGCACCTTCTAAAGATGACTGAAGAGAATAGAGCAAAGTGAAGACGTGGTCTACTGGGAAACCAAGGCAATAGTAATAATAATAACAATACATTTTGAACGAAGATCTTTAAAACCACTCGAACTTATGGAGAATCGTGGGGCCGGTTGAATAGGACAAAATGGAGAGGTACTGTTGAAGCCTTATGTCGCACTCGGAAGCCAAAAGAATAATAATATTTAACGCCCCACCCAATGAAATTATTCTCAATTCTTGAGCCAGTTAGTCCAGTAAGACATAAAACAAGCATTTCAACAATAATACCCTCCCAGATGTACTGTTGTACTTACATATGAATTAGGACAGAAAATAACAAACAAACTTATCGAATATATAAGTTACAATTTTGCTAATTAGTAGAAATATTCAAGTGTGATACGGTTAGGTGAGATACTTCTGAATCAAAAATGTATCTATCTTATCCCACTCTGATATTGCCAATTACCACAGCAACACCCGTAACCAAACATTGAAGCTTTAATAAAAAGCAGTCCATTGTCATAATATATACCAATGAAAACTACGATCTTGTATTATTAATTAAAGCCAGTGACTATACTTGCTATATGATTAGAGTCACATTATTTTTCACTAATCTCAAGTGAATACGACGATGTATTCTACCGAACAATCTCTTCCCACTCCTCTCCGATAACTGGTGTGGTCGAGAGTAAGTAAGATCTAATTTCTGCTCGAAATGCTTTCATTATTTTTACCAAGCGTCCATAGACTCACCACCTCACCTAAGCGAGTTGGAGAACCCCAATTCCAAACCAGAAGTTCACATAGTTTTCAGGATGTGGACGAAAAGCGAAGCATATGAATTGACTTGGGCTACTGGCAACCTTGGGGACGGTGGCTGGCTCTCACTGTACTATGTTTTTGCATCGTACTCTAGTTCATCCGCTTTGACCTGACAGTCTCTCAGGTTAAAACTCAATTATCTGAAGCGGATTTTTCCATATACCAGGCTATGAGATATACTTTTTGAGTGAAGGTTGGTTAGACTACCTTATTGTTCCAGATAACATAGGTAGAGCGCATTTCAAACCCGGGGCCCATTGGTTGAACGTAGAGTGCCGACACCTCAACATCATTTAAAATACGGAACGACAGTTACTCCCTTACCGCAGTCGCTACCAAATATTCCATCACTTTGTTCATTATTATACTGTTAATCATTCTTCCATAAGAGCTGTCTTATTTATTTTTTACAATTTCACTTCTTATCGATTTCTTAGTTTCGATCAGCTGTTCGCTGTCCCTTGAAAGCTTAGCCTATCTGTATCCTTTCCAGTCGTCGCTAGAAATGTAGCCTCTGTTGCACTAATATACATCAATCCGTACACTATACATGGCGTTTAACCTCGACACCGTACATAGTTCATTGATTGATGCTAATCAGAAAAACGGCAAGTTTAGTTAGGAACCTTAAAAACCTCACTGCTGATGCACAATACATCCCAAGGAAAAGCCTGGGAATAACTTACCTATCATTCAGCTCAAAAATTCATTTCATGTAGTTATCTAGGCACTCTATGATTTACGGGTTCAATTTCGCTGGTGTCGGTGTCACTATAAGCCCCACAGTAGCGTAACCTCATTGGGCTCCCAATAAAAATTGTTCATGTGCTATTGGCTTATAATGAAGTAGGAAGTAGCCACAGAAACATCTTTTCGTTATCTCTGCTTTATTAATGCCAGTTTGCAGGCCTAGATGATTTACATTGAAGTGAGTGACTTTCGAGATAATAAAGGGCCTGGTGCCGTCGAGGGTGGGTAGACTTTGGTCCCCCCCCCCTTGAAACACGGATTCACAGCCTCTGCCATGTAAGTCCTATTTAGCGCCCGCACACGGCAGCGGTGTTCCTGACATAAGTGGAAGGGCGAGTAAGAAAGTCTGCTACTTACAAAGGAACTAGTGGGCGTGCAGGTTTACCTAGAGGAGCTGGAAAAGCATGACTCCAAAGCCCATGGTATACAAGGGCTACAGAATCCGAATGTGTCAAGTGACCTATGAACCAGTTTAGGTCACCGAAAACATGGGGACGTAGCTCCCTACGCTAGTCCATTGCCTTATGCATCAGACTTCAACTCAAAGGCTCGAGTTCGGCTATTTAAGACAACCACCTGCCTCGAACTAGGAGTCCAATCAGTATCCAGCCCCTCCTCACAACCTATGAGATCTTGGGTGGCTCATCTCATATTACCCACAATGTTTCAAGTGTTTCTGATAATTTCATGTATCTGAGAGGTCACGTTTCAGGAAGTTAGGTTGGTTAAGACTGATGAAATGTTTGTTAGGACATATTAATATCAGCTTTCATAAAAGGGTTAGCAGAGGACTCAGTACTGCTTGCGTGCAAATGACACACCAGCCATTCTGTTACGCCCTCAGTTTTCGTCGTTCATCTGGATGTCTCTTTCTTTAACGGTCACATGTACTACACCATTGTTGACCTCGCCATAGGTACTACGAAATAATGTAATCATACTTTGGTATAGGCAATTGTGACCACATATGTGCTTATCTAAGTAACACCATCTATTAGTTTACGTCAACATTTACCGCAGACAATATCCGGAAGTTCTCAAATGAGTACATGATCCAATGGTGCGCATAGGTTATGCACGTCGTCTTCAACATGAGTGTCAGCAGGTAACGTGACGTGGCAACGTGGAGTGAAGGATGGCGACTCTGACAATAAACCTAGAGTAATCGAATCCCACAACTTACACACACCAAATACAGCGGAGACACAGAACAGAAAGTGATCATCCTGAACACGTCACCCCAATACGTAACACTCCCTCTAAGCTGACTCACTAGGATAACCAAAGGATAGTATTTTATGACCAGCACGGGATCGGAATGTAAAGGTAACCTTAAAACACGTTTCCCCTTCATACGCCCTGTGTGAGGCATTACTGTAGGTTTTACTTTTACACTTTTATTTCCTCAACTATTCTCTTGGTGCTACAAAATACTAAGTAGGGAGAGTATGTATGACGCTCCCCGTTACTGCTATTCAAGAATCTCATCCCCAATGGCACACGTGTCAACCAGATAAGCTATATTATCTCTATGTTACTCCGTCACGTATCTACAAGTGGAACAAAACAAAGCCCAGAACATATCTTTAAAAGTACTTTATTTATACAGAAACATGAGTAATTATGATGAACAAAACGTCACAGCAGAAGCTATGAACAGTGTTACAGTTGTCCACGAACTAATCGAAAGCATGAAGTTACTCAAAGTATTTTATGAAATCATATATACGTAACCACGCTTGAAAGCACTGAAAATGAAAAATAGGAGCGCTTCTTCATGTGTTGATTAGCGCAGGATTCAAATCAGTTGAAAGTTGGAGGGTGAGTATACCTAAAAACAAAGTCATCACAAACACTTAAGTACAGGGAAAAATAACAGCGATATGATAAATAAGATGATTCGCTGTAGGTTAATATGTTTAGCTAGTACAGAACACTCAGAAAAAATTCCGAATGAAGTTATTAACCTATAAGGAAAGAATACAAGGTTGTGATATGCAGACAAGCTGCGGGGCTACCATGCTCGCTGCTCAACAGTAGTTGAAGTGGTAGCGAACAATAGAAGCACGTTGGTTACATCAATAAAGAATCGTTGTACAATGTATATCTTAAATAAGCTACTACAACCTACTTGTGGTTGATGTGAGATTGAGGAAGAGATGACGTGAAGTTCAAAGGGTTAAAATTGGTCGATGAATGAGCTCCAGAAGATACCAACTGTTTCTGAAATCCAGTCAGAGTTTGCTGATATTGCTGTTGTAACAAATTGAATTGATGCATTAGAGCGATTGCAGTCGTTTGTTGCAGACCAGCATTTGTCCCATTCTGAAGCGAACATTGAAAACCAGGGGGTGTAGGAAGAAGACCAACATTATTGTATCCAGTTTGAAAAGAAAAAAGAGGTGAGGGTTGAGGAAAATAAGATAATCTATTGGCAGATACTGTTGCACTGCGCTGTTGGTGAGTTACCAGATTCTGTCGAACACCATTTGATGTAGACTGTGCATGTTGCTGATGCTTTCGGTTGGCACCAACTTCTAGAGGCTGTTTGTAATTCTGAGGCGACGCGATTTGTGCTCCATTCTGATTAGCTTGCAAGCGATTTACTGACACTTCAGTTGACAGACTTTTCTGAGCACTAACCTCCGTACTCTGCGTTGTAGTAGAGGTAGTCGGGATACATGAATCTTTCTTTAAAGTGAGATTATTAATATCCTCTGTTATCTTCGTAGTATCAGACCTATGTTAAAGTGGAAAAAAGATTTTAGATAACCGAGTGATAAAAACTGAATTTGATTCAATGTCTCTACATACTCCAAAAATGCTTTACTTGTGTACCTTAAATGTATGTTGGAGACTAATGTAAATGAACTGCGCTACTGAAGTCCCAGAGTACACGAATCAGTGTCAATATTACCAAGAAGGATGAATCTACCACGGCATACAGAAGGAAACAACTGATTCGTCTGAGTGCAAGTAGGAGTCACTGGACTACGCTTAACTATAGTGCTGCTTTCCAGCTTGGTAGTGATCGACGGTTCCCCACAGATTAAGGTATAACGTAGCTACGGTATTTGACTATTGAGTAGCATTTTATACACTTAAAACCTAGAGAGTAAGGAGAAATTTCATGTGGCCATTTCTTAGCAGAATACCGATTGAGAGCCACGCACTGACAAACTTACGTTATTTGCTGAAGTTATTGGGATGTTGGTTTCACCATAAAGGAAGAATTTCTTAACAATTACAACAAAGACCCCTTAAACTTTAAGGACACTCGTAACTCGAGATGGGCCGAAACCACTTATTTCACATGGCGCAAACTCAACAGTGTAATGGGAAGAAAAACCCAGCGAATGACCAAAGATACAATGGAGGGGCAGCCACCTTCGTCTTCACTTACGTAGGAATCAAGTAGTTAAAGCCATTTGGTGTTGCCGCACATGGATTTGAATCTCACTGGAAATAAAATGCAAGCAGGTAAAGTGGGGAGCATTTTGAGATATTGTCCATCAATAAACACTTACACTGACACGACCAAGTAACCAATGAAACGCAGAAGACAGCAGCTTGACTGAACGGACGATCATACAGCATTAGGAAAAATTGATTTCATTGAATGACTACTACTAGTCAACAAAATTTGTCTTAAATATCCAAGTGTCAAGTGAATGTATGTGACTCACAGGTGACGATAGATACGGGGCATCGAATGATCTGTCAAATAGATGTCCTTTGGACAATACTCATAACCAGTCAACCAAAAACCTGTAGTGCCAGCCAATTTATATTAATTTTCACAACCTTGAAGACGGAAAGCATTGAGACATGTACCTATTGTTCGGAAAACTTATTCTTGAATAAACAGGCCCCAAAGAAAAATCGATCCACCAGTTGGTGGTTTAAATGGTTCCACATAGCATTTTGGAAGAAGAGGTTGCTTGAAGGTTTGCAGCAAAAGTTCAAGTCAAATTGTTATGATGCTGCTAAGCTCGCCCTTACTAATTTCAGTCCTATAGACTTGTAGTCAAATGCACTAATCAATCTGCCTATGTGTCAAACACTCGGACCTCAGAAAATTAGTAACACAAATCGCAGCAAGCATACCGGAAGCTTATATAGGTGGGGTCATTAGGACTCCAATTCCTGTTTCAAAGCTGCTGAATATACCTTGAAAACAAGCTACAAAAGGCCGCAGGCGGGATAGGACCACAGAACACAACATAAAGTTCAGACATGGAGCATCATGACGAAATCACAAGCCACTATATATTCCAAATCCAACGTATCATACTCTATATACTCAGCCGCTAACCTTTTTGACAAATGTTGTAGGTGGTGCTAGGAATAAACTATGTAGAAGGCACGGATGTCATCTAAGCTTCAGGCCTGCCGTAGATGCAGTGGCTGAGTAAATTCTGGAAGGTCAATGTTTAGACCCCGTCAGGTTAACTAATCCATGGACCAGTGATAAAATCATAGACACTGCTTAGGTTATCTCCCCATAACCTACCTCAGCAATGCACTGAGAAGCAAGAATATCTTAGAAAACAACTTACTCTACTGAATCTTTCGTTTCCCCTTCAGCTGGATCCGGAGTCGCGGAGCCCATAATCCTTTTCCTTGCAGCGGCATAATCTGCCTCTCTTTGTTCAAGAGTTTTAGTGACGACAGTTGGCCTAAAATCGTAGATAATCCTGTGATAAGACAAACCTCTGTGGTGTTTTTTGAATCTCAGACGGATGTGGACATGGTCGTCTCAAAATACGAATAGGCGGTTGTTCCATATCAATTAAAGCTGTACAGGAATTAGCTATATGATCCACTTACTAATGCCTAAATAGTTCACGTAAGATAGCCATCAATACTGAGGTCATGAAAACATGATTTCTGATTTGACAATAACGTCAGCATTCAGCTTTAGCGTACATCACAGTCTTAGAATCACAACCCAGACAGCTTCCAGCGCAGCATTCGTACTGCCCGGATAATTGTATGCATGGACTTAACTAAACAAACAATCAGCAATGAAACCAAGTGAACAAATTCAGTCTTCCAACCTTAAATCTGCAATTATTCAGTGTACAAATAAAAATACAATAAAATTTTAAGTTTCGTTCTGTTTTCGCCCATGGAAACTTTGCAACTTCCCCACACAGGGAGACTAAGCCTTTTCACAGTATAGACATTTAGTTCAACATTTATTCGCCATTATATGAAGCTTCTTTTCCTCAGAAAACACAATTATGCAGGCCTTTAACGTTTATCAGTATAGTAAGTCGTTACTCCAACCACTAAATGACTGTTCGGACTCTTTTAAGTGTATCGGTCTCCTTTCTGCGGTAACTAAATCCATTTATATGATAAAAGAACAGCAAAAGTGCATTAAAACGAGCCGAGCAGCCGACTATTACGGCGCCTGAATACGCTGAAATACTACCGCAAAACTAAATTAAGTAAATTTACACATTCATTATGATGCACTATCTTATTATTATGTATTTTGTAGGGACTGAAAATGCCATTTTCCGAGAGATCTCCCAAGTAAGCACACTATTTGTTTCTACGTTGCTATTTATATTGTACTTTCCTAGTTCTGTGTTACGACAAGATCTTTGCCTGTACTGTGAATATTCCTAAGGATACTATTTTGTTCATGCCAGTGTGTTATAACACTTAACTTTTCGGTGACTATGCACCACTGTGAATGAATTTTACGGAGAAGACGCACCGTATAGTCGTCAGCTTGGTTATTGTAGATATGATAACTCGTCTGCTCAATAACAATAAAGTAGATCCAGTGAAATTGTAATTTTGTAGGTCCACTTAAAGCTTACCACAGCCTGTCGCCGTAACTGTAATTACCCCCTAAGAAACCACCATTTGTTCTGTCCACACCGAATCAAAATATAACAACGAGCTCATCAACATAGCATTTACACATCCTTTCAAAGCATCTAGTAAAGAGCATCAATTAGGTAACCCGAGAAATTAGAGACCTACCGAACAGTGAAAAGTCTGCTGGTTTGAATGAAGTGGATAGTACAGGGTCTGCATAAAGCCCAAACTCCTTGACTGGAAAAATGGAAGGGTTATGTGGGATCAAACACAGAAAATAAACCTGATTTCATCACATCAATGTATCAACACATCCTCAAGGCACTCCAAAAGGCCTGTTTTTCTACTCATACGGTCTAAAATTCAATAAAAACTTCGTTGGAGATTTTTCGTATGGATTTCACTTGAAGTCCCTTCGAAGTTCTTACGTTAGCTTTCTTATCCAGACGAAAATGTGGTCTTTTCAAGGAAAACTACTAATGATAGACTATGACCAGATTCCTCATGGTTAAGTGGTTACTGTGATTCATGTGGGCCAGTAAATCATCATCGTTTTCTAGAAAACACCAGGAATGAGCTAAATTCCGTCGGTGGCACAGCGGTTAGGACTCTCGCCGACCATGCACATGGTTCGGGGTCCGATCCCCTGCCGACGCATACCCGATTTCAATGGTTGGCCCGCGAAATTTGGGCTACCGGTATCATATGCTGAAAATTCCATGCTTGTACCAAAAATACCGTGTGGAATCAAGATATAATCAAAATAAGATATAGTAGGTGCAGTTTGACCTCATAAAAACCAGGTCGGTCTTGAACTTAAACGTGGCATTCATGATACACCAGGTAGAGTCTCAATAAAAAGATAGATAACGCAGAATAATTCCTTTCAGCGATATGGGAATCGTCAAGCCACGTGTCATTTTTAAAATGCTTGGCTTTCCCTACAACTTGTAGTCATCTGTTGAAGGAACACGCACTACGAAAGCAAATGTAGCCTCGTAAACATGAGGATACACCTTAACTTGAATGATTAGACATTAACAATATAAGTGTTTGCGCATCAGACGGTAGGCAAGTTTAGCAGCAAAGCTTGAGCAAATAAGCTCGTGGAGACAGTTAATGCAAGTAGACAGGATGATACAAATGATAGGATTAAAAATGCTATAAATCCAAACTTACTAATCTCAAACAAGACGATGCCAGGTGAGTTTAAACTTCCGTGCCGAGCAATGAATATAGTTGATAGGTTAAAAGACACTGAATTTCGGTTATTTCCATTGCATATTGGACTCCTAGCCTTCAGTTTTACCACATATTCACTCCCAATTTCACTCAACTGTTATCTCCGCTTTTTGATATTGTCTCCAGTAAACAATTTAAGTGAGAACAACAACATGAGGATATCTTGAAAAGAACTTTGGGGTTTCTTAATAGACGAGATCTCTTAAGACCTCTCTCATCGAATGATAAGTCTGTTCTCGTTACAGATCCTTCTCCTATGGGTGTGGCTGCAGTACTTCAGCAAAATGGACAATCTATTATTTGTATTTCACTACGTCTAAGTAAGAGTGAACAAGGGTACTCGCAAACCCAGAAAGAGGCTTTAGCAGTCGTGTAGGAAATGAGACGCCTGCACAAGAATCGCTTCGGTGCTAAGTTTCACACACTTATTGATCGTCAGGCTTTGAAATTCACTTACAATCCAGAAAAATAGATCACCTGCAGCTATGGTTCAAAGATGGAATTTAGAGCTAAGTGCATATGGTTACACCCTTGAACACAGGTCGGTTAAGGACAGACCTCGTACAGACTTCTTATCTCGTTGATCACTATTTGAAAATTCTCTTAATGACACTGATTGTTTGTTAGTCCAGCTTTTACCTGTAAATAGAGTTTGACTTATGTACGATACTCGGAAATATTATGTTGCATTATAAATGAAACAAAAAGAGGTTGGAATATTCAGTGTAAGCGAAGATTCCCGGACTTTTATAAGCGAACAGATGAGATTTCAGTACACTCTGAAGGATTTCTCTGTCTGAATGACAGAATTATTATTCTTCCGACATTAAGATCTGTGATTTTGGATGATCTTCATCTGGTAGCTGATAAGATGGAGTCATTAGCACGCCGAACGTGCTGGTGGCCGGAAATCGATGCTGACATTAGCAAAAGATCAAAGAGCTGTTCCAGTTGTTTGCATAAAATTTCCTACGGGAGGTCATCGTGAAAACCATGGCCTGCGTCTTGTGAGGTTTGACAGCGTATTCATGCGGACCTTGTGGTCCATTATTAAATTCACACTATGCCTTAATTACTATGGATTCTTATTCCAGATGGCCAGAAGTCATACTTACAGATAGTCCTAACGCAAAATTCACTCATAGAGCTTTGAGGAAGGTTTTTAATCGAGAAAGAATTCCAGATGTCTTAGTTACTGATAATGGTATTCGTTTCACTGAGAAGAACTTCAACGATTAGCTTAAACATATAGGTTGTCGTCATCTCTACACAGCACCACGTCATTCTCAGTCTAACTGGTTGGCAGAAAATTTTGTACGAACATTAAAGAGTGCCACAGCGTCAATGAGTCCTAAGAAATTCGATGAGCTAGAGAGACGTGTAGATAACTTCCCACTTCAACATCGCAGTGAGGAGCATACAAGTACCCATGAAAGTCCTGCTAAGCTATTCAAATCTCGAATTATCCGAACGCATCTGATGTCCACGACTTCTGATGTACATTGTTATAGAAGGAATGACTATGGACCTTCTGTTGGAATCATACTACAAAAATGAGAAATTGAACGGTGAAGATATTAGACATCGAAGATCATTCAGTTCATGAGAGACAACTGGATCAAGTGAAAATAAATAAAGTAGGTCGTTCCGATTATAATTTTAGTGATTCCGCTACTAATCCCAATTTCGCAGATAATTCAGAAATAAGTCCAGATGATACTGATGAAAATAATATCACAGGATTAGTTAGAAGATCTCAGAGACTTGCGAGCAAACCGAGACATCATTATAAATACACAAGGAGATATTCGACATGTGGCGGATGTGGTGATTGAAAATTTCTATCACTGTACTGCTTAAATACTTAACAATACTTGTTAATATATTTATTATATGAATTACAAATAATTCCTTCTCTCTGTTGTTGATTGATTTCCTGTAATTCTGCCATCGCGTAATACTACTATTACAAATAACTATAACACACTGGTGCCTCCCTTAGTCAGGTACCAAATGTTTCAATAAATCTGCCATATTGCCCGGTACGTTCGAACCAGGTGACGCTTTTTGCACGTGTTTTCGTTTATATTCATTTATTGCTTACTGTTGATTGATCCTAAATAACGATGGGCCAAAATTCTAAAAGGAGTGTTCGTGTGAACACCAGTAATTTAGAAAATAGCACCAGCTCGTCTAATAACACATTACCACCCCTTATTATTAGCAGTTCACCCAACAGAAAAGACTCGAACATAACTCTGACCCCTGTAATACAGGTGGAAGATGTTCTGTCTGAAAAAGTGCATGCATTATTAAAGAGATGCAGCTACAGATTGATGAATTAAAAACGAAATTAAGTTCATTTGAATGTATACCCGAAACAATCTCACTTATGAAAAAGGAACTGCAGGATCCTACAATCCTAAAGCTTTTTAATATGACCTCTAGAATGACGCCTACTGACTCAGAAAATGCGAAGGAGTTAGAAAACGCCATTGACTTTCTATCCAGCGAAGTTGTTAAAAGGCTGGCTTCGAAACAAAACGCTATAGTGTATAATGTACCAGATAGCGAGCCCATTAAGTCGGTCCAGCACTCATTGCTGAAGGCTGCAAATCTCTTGAGTGCACCTTGTCAGTGCATTCGCCTAAGTAAAAAAGACCTAAAGCACCCCTGTCCTATACTCTTTAGGTTCGACAGCTACATAATAGCTGAACGATTTAAGAAGGCCGAAGATCTTCTGGCTACTGCCACTAAATTCAAGACTATTAAAGTAGTCTCGGATAAAACAACTAACCAAAGGCAAGCAACCAAGAACTCCTTCGATAGAAAGTTGACCACACCGAGAACTACACCTGGTATCAGTGCTAAAGTGTCGACGGACACTGAAGCACAGCAAGTCACCTGTATAGTGTTGGA